TACCACAGGACATAGACTTTATTGGCATGATTGGCATTTATAGAAATACAAATGTACTTCTTCAACTGATATCTGTCCTGGTTGCGGCTGGGATAGAGTTGATTTTCTTCCTAGTAGCCAGTGCAGTGCTGTATTTTGGCTTTAGCCTGAGAATGTTGATTACACACCAGTGTTTTAGTTGTTGCTGAATAGTGCTTACTCTGATCAAGGACTTTTCAGTCTCTCATGCTTTGCCAGTGAGAAGGGGCACAAGAAGCTGGGAGGAAGCACAGCCAGGATAGCTGACCTGAACTAGCCAAAGGGGTATTCCATACCACAGAACATCATTGAGCATATATTAATCTTTGCTGCAGGATTCATGTGGCCTTTGGGTCTGAAGCAGCAGCCGCTGAGCACAGAACAGCTTTCACAGCGTGTCTGTTTGGTACAGACTTTGATTCTCTCCTGAAAAGAATTAAGTCATGCTTGGAAAAAAAAAAAGGTGCCAGTTCTGGGTGAATCACTGTGGTTTAATGACTGAAGGACATTGCAGAGCCACTGAACCTAACTGAGAAATGTTTACCTCGATTTCAAGATGAAAAAAGAAAAAGGAATACCCAAACGAAACTGTTCAAGAGACAGAGCAACATCCACTCTTTGGTAGCTTGCACAGAATTTCACTCAGCTGGAGCTAATGTTTATCTCAGAGAAAAGGACTATAAGGGGATAGAAAAGAGGTTTCCAAGAAACGGGATGGTCCTGATCTGAGTGAGGCAAGTATGGTCTTCTGGCAAATGAAACAGCGAGCCTAACATGAATCTGTAAACAAGCAGAGAGATGAATACGCTGTCAGAAGCTGCTGCGTGGAAAGACTTAACAAGAGAGTTCAGTGAATGAAAAACATCCTGCAGGCAGAGAAGGCAGTAGGGAACAGTGCAGATTCATAGCAGTAGGCATTCATCACCAAAACTCACTCTTTTGAATGCTGTTGGGTTAAATTAGTACAAAGTAAATTAGTATCTTTATGTTTCAATTCCAGTTTATGTGTGAGCTCACAGGGAAGAGGAGATTTTTGATTTCTGTTTTGTCTAAAGCTTAAAAGGCTGCTGATAGATGAAAGCACAACAGGAACTGCTTTTGTTCTCTACTTTGTTGCTAACCGAGAAAGGAGTAGAATGCCTTGTCCCACCTCCCCAAGCAGACAAACTGTGCTAAAATGTGTTAAGAGTTAATCCTTGTGAGTTCTAAGCAGTCAATTTTATTTAATTGAATATTGAGTGAACGTGAGTTTAATGTTTCAAAATGTTCACAGGAAAAATCAGTGTGTATGATGACTATGACTGCCTGACAGCATCAATAATGTAACATGTTCTCCGTGCCCAGGTGGAACAAAAAGTCATCCTCAGTGATGAGGAATGGGGCTCTTAAGTGTTCATCTGCTCAGTGTTTGGAGAACCTCATAACACATGGATGGTGGGTGGGACTGGGGCTGCTACAAAAAAATTCTGCAAGAGCTAAAGAACTGAGGATTCATGCAGTGTTATAACCTCTGGAGATAAAGTTAAGCATCCTCAATGCTTAATGCCCCGAGTCTGAAGTTTTAAAAGAATAGACAGAGCAGGCTGCACTACATAATGACATCTTTGTTTGAAAGCTGAGGAAATTTGAAACATGAGTACAGAATATGGCACTGTAAACCAAAACTGCCAAGTCATCTTACCCAAGGAAGGGGAAAACTTGTGGAAGAGAAAGAAGTGCAGTGTCACCTACAGCATCTACCCTATGGGCCTATCTAAAGCTATCTCCGCTCTCCCTAAAGCGCTTCCTATCCCAGCCTACTTCCCCTGCAACTCCAGTGCCAGTGTGGGATGAGTCTTTGGAAACGCGGGAACGGTGACCTGCCTCTGCTGGGGGCGAGCGTTGCTACCTCCGGCAGGCGCTGCCCGCCCGCAGGAGGAGCGGCCCCTCACGTCGCTCTTGGCCTCGCCGAGGCCCTGCGGGCTGTCCCGGCCGCGCTCCGGTGAGCGAGGGGCGGCGCGGGGAGGTGGGGGGCGGCCGTTTCCGCCGCTCCGGGCCTGGCTGCCGCCGTGCGGGACGACGTCACTGGGGCTGGGCCGGCGGCGCGGCGCAGTGCGGGGCCGGGCCGGGCGCCGCTGTGGTGAGGCCGCCGGGCGGGGCAGGGCCTGCGGTAGGTGCCGGTGCCGACGGGCGTGTGAGGGTCGGTCCGTGCGCGCCCAACGGGGGCGGGGGGGCTGCGGCGCGTTCTCGGCTGACTCGAGCGGTTGGGAGCCGCGGCCGTGGCACCGGGCAGGTCCCGGTCAGGGCCGGCCCTTCACTCCATGGCTGGTGGCTGCGGCGTGTTGGGTGCCACCGCAGGGAAACCGGGACCAGGGTCTGCCACAGGAGAGACCTTTCCCGGCGTAGGAGGTGCCCAGGCGGAGCAGTGATGGCCGGGCCCTGCCTGCCACGCACGTCTGACTGCAGGTACCAGGCGGCAGAGCCAGTGTCGCCGAGGCCCTGCGGATTGGGATGCGCAGTTGTTGGTATAACAAGCATCAGGTGCCAGAAATCACGGATAACTAGTGATGGTGTAAGCACCACGTTACACTGCAGGAGAGGTTTCCTGCTGTGAAGCCATTGCCATCACTGGGGGGATTTACCTGAGGACAGGATCAAGTCCTCTGAAGATGTCCTCTGGTGAACAGTTCCTAAACTGAGAAGAATGGGCAGTCAGGAATATTAGCCTCAGCTCACAGTTTTAGGCTGACTTGCTGCTGGTTTGGTGATCTGATACGCTGTCAATAGTAGCCTTTTGTTCTAAATAATTGTAGATCCCCATGTGTATTTTTGAGCCATTCTTCTCTTGCTAAAACATTGTCACTTACAATCTCTTTTTAACGAGAGAGGAAAATAAAGGGGGTTCTAGTAGGAAGTGAAACTAATAGCTTAACATAGGGACATCAACACTGGGTGCAAATGGTGAGGTGTTCAGGCACTGCTGAAGGAGAGTGCTTGCACAGCTGTCTTGTGTCTGTGTGCAAGGGTTGTTAGAGCATCCATCATGAATCTGATTGGGTTTTTGTTATGTTTCAGGTATCTCTCTTCTAAGTTTTAACAAATTCTGATTGTGAGGGCATTTGACCTGAAAGCTGATAAAAATACTGCAAAGTAAGTACTCTGCTTATGAAAGACATGGGTCATATGAAATTCTCAGTAATTTGTGAGATCAGTGTCAAGGGCATCTGTACAGTCTGCACACACTTCTCCTTCTGGTGGCCTCTCTAGGGACTTTGTGTCTAATGAGCTTTCCCAACAAAATGCTCCTGCTGCTGGTGCCTTGTGGGGGGGGGCATTGTCAAGGCCCATGTGTAGTTAAGAGTTATGCATTGCTTGTTCTGCTCTCTTACGTGGTATGCATCTTGGTCTGAAGAGGAGCAGTCTTGAGGAGACCTGTGGTACAATGTTAGCAATACTTCAGTAGATGTCTTCTCACTCCCACCCTTCTTTCTTACCCTCAGGCTCCAAATACAGTTAAAGTTACCCCAACTGCAGTCTTCTATGAGGTGCTTGGCATTCAGTTTTTCATTGTGCAGTGTCTATCTTTGGATGCTTACATGTACCTGGGGTTTGTTCTGTGTAGGGCATCTTCCCACAGCTGTGCTGAAGCACACTGAAGTGTGATGGTAAACGTGGGTTTATGGAGTTCTGCTTTTGATCACAGTGGGAGATAGGCAGTGAAGAATGGCATTGCATGGACTGAGTGCTACAGGAAGAGTAGAGCTTGAAATGTGCTGGAGGAAGTAGCAGAAAATGGAAATTTGGGAATTCTGTACAGCCAAAGTAGCAGAACAGGCAGGAGATTTTTCCCTGGGAAAAAAAAGCCAGATATTTGTTTTGGTGACTAGTGTGTGGCTGTGAGGGTTTTCCTGAAGAGGTGTGGGGTGATGTGGAGCCATCCTTGTGCAGCAGCAGCCTTTGGTCTTAGGACAAGAGTGAGTAAAGAAAAGATCAGACTTCACTTATGAGCTATTTCTGTTTCTGGCAATGAGAGGCAGGACATTACGTGTGGTCCATTAATTCAGCAGATCTGTTGGGATCTATCCTGCTATTTGAAGCATTTGGCTGGTTTATCTACCACAGTATGCACACTTTGGCTACAGGATTCTGATGAGACCCAAGGAGGCTGTTCAGCACTTGAATGGCACTAATCTGTGAGCAGGGAATAGTCATGCAGAGGGTGGCTTGTTCTCAGGAATTACTTCTTCTCAGGAATTACTTTGAAACTTCAATTCCTGCACTGAAATGGTATTAACTTCTGGTTCCAAGCCCATTTGTCATCAGCTGATTTCATCCAAGTGTTCAGTTTGTGTAGTCTGAACTTTGAAACCACATTCTTTGGGTGCTCCAGTAAAGTCTTGCGGAAATAGAACCCGCAAGAAACAGAGGATCAGACCCTGTCCTTGCAACATAGTGTCTCTGCTGAATTCAGGAATGTGAATAGGAAGAAAAACTCAATCATTGTGAAAACAGTTTTGCATTGAGCCTTAGCCTCAGCACAGGCAGCAGGAATGGTAGGATCAGTACTGGAAGGTGACTTCACATTGCAGCAGGGGTCTGGATGTGCTTTGTTGTCAACTTAGACTGAGGTCATGATTCATCTTAATTTAGCTTGAGTGAGTTGCAGGTAAATGTAAGCTCATTGCTGCTCTTGGAACTTCTGTGAAGTGTGACATGAGTGACTGCTAATGGTGTTAAATATTTCAGTATCAAAACCCAGTGATGGTAGGCAATGCCCAGGTAACCAAGATAGGCTCTCTGGTGTCTCATTTGTCCAAAGGCAGAGGAGATGTGCCCGTAAAACATATATGCCTTGTGTTAAGAGATGGAGAGAAAAGGTTATAACTAATACGAAGGCTGCACTCAATATGTGAAATGTTGAGGAATGGCTTGAACTTCTGTAAATGGAATTAAGCAAAGATTTTCTTACTCAACCATATTATTCTGAGCTCTTTTTCTTCCAGACGCCTACCTGTGATGATTCCACCATCTACAACAACCCCTGTCGGTGATGCTGCACTCTTGCCAAATGTGGCTTCTCAGGAAATCTGGAGGTCACAAGTGCCAGGCTATTCTGGATCGGTCACACGGCACATAAGTCATCGGGCCAACAACTTCAAGAGACATCCAAAGAGGAGAAAACACATTCGCCCTTCGCCACCACCACCACCAAATACTCCATGTCCTATTGATTTGATTGACTTTGGGGATCTTCAGCCTCAGAGGTCTTTCCTAGAACTCCTCTTTAATGGGTGCATTCTTTTTGGGCTTGAGTTCAGCTATGCCATAGAAACAGCCTATGTTACCCCTGTGCTGCTTCAGATGGGGCTTCCAGACCAACTGTATGGAATGGTGTGGTTCATCAGCCCTATATTAGGTAACTTTTCACTATTTCTTCTCCCTTGTTTTTTTTCTACTACACAAGGTGTATGTTCTTGTTTTCTCTACCTCAGCTGTTCATACGGTGTATTCTGTGTGCTCTCAAGGTTAAGAAGCACTAGCTATAATTTTAGACAGCCAAATGGAGAATAATTCTTGCTGTGTCTTGCTTGAAATGGGCTTGGTGTGATCAAAAGGTCAGTTCTTTTAATGGCTTATGAACCTTTTAGATTTTGTGCCAGGGTAAGCTTTATTTGCTCTGTTCTATATTTAAAAAGTAGCAAAAGAAGATCAATGTATCCATTCATGTCCCTAGGGAAAAAAAGCATACACAGACAGTTCCCTGGGATGTGTGAAAAAAGCACAGTGGTACTGCCTTTTCCTGTTAAACTTTTTAAAGCAAAGCCTTCTGGTAATGAAAGGTCATCAGCCACTACTGTTACAGGCCTTAGCCCACAGGCAGGGGTGGAAGCATATCTATTACTACAGGAAGAACCATAGGATGGGCTGTTACCGCTTGGAAACTTCGTTCTGCCTGTTCCTATACTTGTGCAATGTGCTTCAGGAGTAGATAGGCTTCTACTCACAGGCTGGCCCAGGGTAATGCAAGTACCTTTCCAACTTGCCTGTTTGCTTCCTGCTGTCTTCCAAGTTAATTCTTAACGGGAGTTCCCATCTAGGATGGGGTAGATGAAATAGTGTGCAAGGAACTGCCATGGCAATGAGCAGTGGCACATTATGTTATTCAGTCCCTGGCCTGGACAGTGCCAAGCAGTATGCTTTTTGTGCATCTGGGGGACTGCTACTGACTGGGGATATTGCTGTGGCATGGTGTCCTGTCTTTACTTGCCTTTTAAGGTTTAACTCCCCTGTGAAACAGGCTCATAGAAAAATGCTACTTATTGGTGATTCCTTTTTACTAGGATTTTTGCTACAGCCTTTGCTGGGAGCCTGGAGCGACAGATGCACATCAAGATTCGGGAGGAGACGACCTTTCATTCTGGTCTTAGCAATAGGTGCGTCTTTCAGAAGCGATGGGCATAACACTTGGAATGTAGAGCCAGCTTCCTTCTGTGACATCCCCTGTGGCACTAGGCTGAACAAAAAAATGTTGGATATTGTGGATCTGAAGGTGGTGAGTGGCACCAAGGTGATGCTTTGGCGGCTGGAGATCCACACAATAAAACCTTGTCTTGTCAGAGTCTGAAGAGGTGATGTTTTGAGGGTCAAGGATGTTTTTCTGGAACCAAAACCAACTCCAGACATTTGTTAAGTTTGAACAGTGGAAAAGGGTTATGTATATCCTATAATCCATGCTCATCCGCCAGACTGTATGGTCTGAACAAGGGCAGTTGTGCTTGCTGCAAAGCTGTGCAGGTAGTATAATGCTTTTAGAGCATGGAACAGTGGAGGTTTCTTTACTTACAAGCAGTCAATTGATTGATTTCAATTTGGTTTTGTTCCCAGGAGCGTTGCTTGGGCTCTCGCTTATGCTTAATGGCAAAGATATAGGAAGCACCTTGTCTGACACTGCGAATAACCACAAATGGGGTATCATTCTTACGGTCTGTGGTGTTGTCCTCATGGACTTCAGTGCAGATTCAGCAGACAATCCCAGTCATGCCTACATGATGGATGTGTGCAGCCCAGTGGATCAAGACAGGGGCCTCAACATCCACGCTTTGTTAGCAGGTATGCTTTGTTGGTGCTTCCTGGGTGACACGAGACCTAAGTAAACAAGCCCTCTGCAAGAAGGCAGAGTGTAAATCACTGGTCTTTTCCCGTATAAGCCTAATAACCAAACACTTGGAGAGGTGACACTAGTTAACTTTGAAAACAAACTCATGCTTACTGTAAAAGGCTTTTGTAACTGCCAGAAGTCAAACAAGACACAGTCTTGGGTTGTTCATCTGAAGGTCCCTCAGCATCATTTATAACAACTATGGAAACAAAATCCCTTGAGGGGAGAGGTTCAGCTTCCTGCAGGTGTGGAAAATACCTTTTTTAGTCACTCTGTTGGAGGGGAAAGCACGTATTGGGCACTATGATCCCTCGCTGCTGTCATCTTCAACTGCTGTACTGTTCTAGGCTAATTTTCGTCACCATCAGGAGACTGTTTCACGCTTGAATGTGGTCATAAAAAAGAAAGGATAGTGTCATAGGCCTTCCTCCTTTTTAATGGAGTGAGAGTGGTATCCAATGCCCTCAGAACATCTATGTTCATTGGTCGTAAATGCAGTGGCAGTTTTGTACGCTGTCAACATGTTGAATAATGAGCTTGCTACACTTCTGAAGTGATTCAGTCTGTCTTGGACACAGTTAGATCTGTGTTCCTCTAACTGAGTGAGGAAAATGGATTTTCACTTACTTTCAGGAAAACAGTCTTAGCTGACTGGTTGCAGAGCCTTGCCACGAGGCTGGTGGACACTTCTGTTTTACGGACTGAAATAGCTGAAGGTAAAGTGGTTTGTTCATGGCAAAGAAAGAACTATAGTTTTTAATTATCTGTACCATCACTTTTACAGCACTGACCTTCTCCCTCTTTCTGTACTATGTTCGTACATCAGACTGTCCTTGTGGCATGGATAACTGTGTTTATTACTGCATTTGAATTGAAAAGGGCTTGAGTAGTAAACCAGAACTAACACGTTGGATTCTACTCACTAATCATTAGACAAATAGTGCTGTTACTGACTTCCAGGATTGGCTAGGGAAGATAATCTTGGCTCTGTTTTTCCACCAGGTCTTGGAGGTGGCTTTGGTTATGTTGTTGGAGGAATACACTGGGATAAAACCAGTTTTGGAAAAGCTGTGGGAGGGCAACTTCGTGTCATCTATGTCTTCACCTCAGTTACACTGACTATCACTACTGTACTGACTCTAATTAGCATTCCAGAAAGACCCTTAAGGTCCTTTGTCAGGAAGAAAAAGGTGATGAAGAGTCCAAGTCTTCCTCTCCCTCCTTCTCCACCTTTCTTCTTTGAGGAGGGTGTAAATGAAAACTTTGCTTCTCATAACTCAGCTCACTTACATGCAAGCTTTACGAGCCCCGTTTCCCCCCTGAGCCCACTCACACCCAAATATGGCAGTTTTATCAGCAGAGACAATTCCTTGACAGGAATTAATGAGTTTGCATCATCATTTGGGACTTCAAATATTGACAGTGTGCTTATAGACTGTTTTACAGGCGGGCACAATAGTTACGTAGCACTTCCAGCTAGCCTGCCCAGACAGCCTGTCAGTGTCAGCTTTCCTCGGGTGCCTGATGGCTGTTACCAAGGACAAAATGGAATTTTGGAGCAAGGGGAGAGCAGCATAACACCGGGGCCTGACGGCGAGGTGCTGAGGGTGGGCTCACTGGATACGATAAAGCCACGGTCATCAGGGATCCTGAAAAGGCCTCAGACCTTGGCCATTCCAGATATCGTAACAGGACACTGTCCAGAAAATAGCAGAAGAAGAAACGTAACCTTCAGCCAACAGGTAAGGGCAGAAAATCAATGATATGACCATGTAAACCTGAGCATTCTTTTAATTTCTTCTATAGTTTTAAGCGTGTGATGCACAAATTTATCATTTCAGACTGCTTGTGACAGTTTGCTTATGAAAGTCATGGGAACAGCATACCTGCTATGACCTTATTGGTAAAAGAGGGGATAGGATGTGGATTATGACTGGCAGTCTGTCAGCTGCCTTTGTTAAGACAGCAGAAATGGGAGCATTCTTCTCTCACTGGGCCAACATGTGAAAGTTAGGTTGGTATATTAAGCCCTGGTTCATGACCCAGGGAGCTGCCACACAAGAGCAGAAAAAGACACATTTTTATTGAGCCTGTATCTTCCCTTTTCACAGAAATACCTGCAAGATAGGGCCAGGGATAGGATTCTCCTATGAGCAGTCATGCTATCTGATTCCAGCAGGGAGGTGAGGTTTCCCTTGCCCAGGCGTAAGACTGACCTCACCTCCCACTGTTGGTGAGAACTTGGAATGTCTGAGACCTCTGTATGCTGGCCCATTTTTTTATGATCCAGGATGAGGTAAACTGTCCTCTGTTTGGGTTTGGGGTTGTTTTTTTGGGGGGTGTGTGGGTTTTTTGGTTTGTTTGTTGCTGTTATTGTCCTTAGACCAAGTCTGTGAGAGCAGACTTCCTTAGGGCCAGGATTTTACATAGTCTGCACACAGAGATTCGCATCAAGGTTAGCAAGCAATGTGTTTCAGTTGAAACCAGCCTCTTCTTCCTTGATGTCTCCAAAACTTCAGGAGCCAAATTCACCTGGCTGTGGGTACAGCCTTCCCTATGCTAGCATCTGGAAGTGGTTGCCAAATACCCTAGAGAAATGAAGAGTACTGTTTGAAGTATTCTGAATGCTGTAGCACAGTGCTGCCATTTAACTCTTGTTCCATGGCTGAATTTACAGTTTCTAGACTGTTCTTAATCTCCTGAATACACTGTTCTTAATCTCTGAGTCAGTGTACTGCAGTAGCAGAGTTTAACTTTCAGATGATCAGATAGGCGTGTAATATTGCATAAGTTTGCTCAAAGGATGTTTGTGTTTTTCTTACTGTGTGTGTTGACCTGGGAGTTCTTATGGTGCAGGTTGCTAATATCTTGCTGAATGGTGTAAAATATGAGAGCGAGCTGAATGGATCCAGCGAGACCACTGAGCAACCACTCTCCATGAAACTCCTTTGTTCCACCATCTGCCAGATGCCCAAGGCTCTCCGCAATCTCTGCATCAACCACTTCCTAGGTATGCAGAAATTGTTGTCTTGCTTTCACTCTGAAGTACTCTACCTCGGGTGAATGCTTTAAAATGTTTTATCTATGGCTGCTATCTTGAGAGGACTTGATTTGTTCCATATACACTCCCCAGTAAGGTACTTTCTGGTATTTAGTTTCTTGGAACACTGAGAAAGGTAAAAACCCAAACAACAAATCAGTAAAGCCTACATTCCTGTATTTATTTGCTTTTTAAAACCACTCTGAAGCTGGCACTACCAAGCAGAAAGATGAGAGTAGTTGTATTTCCCTCCTTACACTTCCCTCCCTTTGACAGCATGTGTATAGGGGTCCTAGAACAGTCTGTGTGGGGGTGCAGGAGCGCTCAGAACCTGTGCATTGTTACCTTTACTTTTGCCAGTGTGTGACTGATGCTTACGAAGGGCTTGCAAGCAGTCCAGTTTACATTAAATTGAGCTAAAGGTAACAGGTAGTTAATATGCATTGACTGTGAAAGGAATCAAGATATTGCCTGCATCAGGGCATGTGATGCTTGTTTGTGAGTAGGAGGTTTTTAACTCTGTCAGAGGTGCTCTAGACGCTGCAACCATGACATAAGAAGCACTCCTTCCAGTTCTATGTGGGAGGACAACAGCAACCTGAAACGACTACATGATGAGCCACTCTGAAACTGAGCGTTGTCCTGTCAAAACCTGAAGGCAGCTCAGGCTGCTGTCATCTATTTTTCTGTCTTGCTAAACCAGTACGCTGTGGCCTACAATCAGCCTCCAGAATTCTGCTTAGGAATTCAAGGGATAAACTTTGGTCTTTAAAATCCTAATTGTCTTTGACAGACACTGTAGCATAATGCATGGGGAGCAACAGTCTCAGATAAATGTGGCTGAACCTTATGTAATACTCATGTTGTCCAACCTGTCTTCAGTTGTGATTTGTAGTATAGCTAATAGCATCCTTGTGAGCTTGCAAGGGGAAACAGATACTCTGCAATCCTAATCGGTGACTTTCTGGCTTCTTTCAGGATGGCTTTCGTTTGAGGGGATGTTACTCTTCTACACTGACTTCATGGGAGAAGTAGTGTTTCAAGGGAATCCAAAAGCGCCTCACAACTCAGATGAGTACCAGAAGTACAACGCTGGGGTCACCATGGGCTGCTGGGGAATGTGCATCTATGCATTCAGTGCTGCTTTCTATTCAGGTACTTGGTAAAGCCATCTTAGTCAGTGCTGTGAGAAGGATGCACCCATTCCTTAAGTGGTGTTTCTGCAGCAAGTAGTCTTGCATTTATGTTGCACATAGCCTGTGTGCAACTCACGTGGCATGAGTGCTGAAGCAGATTATTCTTATTCACCGTATATCTCAGCTAGTTAGCTTGTTTTGCTAAGCAGATCCAGTCAGCAGTCTGGTGAAAACACATCTCTGTTAGTGTACAGTTCCTTTCACAAGTGGCCTTTTAAATGTACATTGAATCCAGAAATACATGCAGCCACCATATGCAGAGTTCTGGCACAGCAGCATTCAGTGCCTATGTGCCCCTGGCAGAGTACCCCTCGTCGTGCACCACCCGAGTACCTTGTTGTGTGTATAGTGCATCTGCCTGCTCTGCTTCCTGCTTTTGGGGAGGAATTCCCATTTACTCCTCTGGCTTCAGCTCTGCCATGTCCTCCACACAGATAGGGCAGCAAGGCTGCATCATGGCAGTGGGATTTGGAAGGAGTCCTTGGTGCTCATGTTTAAGCCACCAGTTACTCAACAGTTTAATGGTTGCTGCTGAGATGTGGCTACCCAACAGGTAGGGCCCAAAGGTGCACCCTTTGGGTCCAGTGACAGGCTAGTGGCAGGGAGGGCTGCAGTTCACCCCAAATGCCATGCCATTGTCTTGCAGCCGCACTGGAGAAGCTGGAGGAGCGGTTCAGCACACGGACACTGTACTTTGTGGCATATTTGTCCTTCGGGCTCGGCACAGGTCTGGCCACCCTCTCCAGGAATGTCTATGTGGTGCTGTCACTATGTGCTACCTACGGCATCCTCTTCGCCACGCTCTGCACGCTGCCCTACTCCCTGCTGTGCGACTACTATCAGAGCCATGAGGTGAGCCCTGGGCCAGGGAGGGAAGAGGGGCTCCCACAGCACCGCCAGCCCCCTTATAGTGTGTCCCTCACAGTTTGTAGGCTCACAGGCGGAGGGCACACGGCGTGGGATGGGCGTTGACATCTCCCTGCTGAGCTGCCAGTACTTCCTGGCCCAGATCCTCGTGGCCCTGGCCATGGGACCACTGACAGCAGCTGTGGGCAGTGCCAGCGGTGCCATGTATTTCGCCAGCCTGATGTCCTTCCTAGGCTGTCTCTTCTCGTCCCTCTGTGTCACCTATGAGCTGCCACCCACCGAGGAGCTGCCTCCCACGGAAGAGCAGCGCCCGCTCTTGCCCCACGCGCGGAACGAATAAATGGGAGAAGCCACCACAGCCTCTGCTGCCTCTTTGTGTCACCCTCAGCCTCCCCACCGTGGCGTGTTAGGCTCTTGTGCCCCCAGCCTTGCAGCAGTGGGCCTGGCAAACAGCAAGAAGGTCTGCACTGCTGCACCAAGCTTTCCTGTGCTCACGGAAGGGCGAAGGGCAAGCTGGCAGCACGTGGCACTGCTCATCCTTCCCCTGAGGTGGCAAAGGCCTATCTGTGCCCCCATTCCCTCCACCTGTGCCATGGTACCATCATTCCTGGGGGGACAAGTGGTGGTGTCCAGCCTGAGGGAGGGGATCTGGAAGTCTGGTGCATGGGCAGGGTGACCATGGTTTCTCAGGTGGCAGCAAGCTGCAGGGCTGCACGCGCCACTGAGGGCACTGCCATGGGCAGAAGGTGATGGGCAGAAGGTGCCATCATGTGGCCAGGCAGAGCAGCCCTGTCCTCGATCACTGTGGCCTTGAGGAGCAGTGGGGCCAGCCTGCAGGTCCTGGCCTCTACCTGTGGTCAGCCTGGCTCTGGAAGATGCTTTTCAAAGCTTTGGAAGGGCTGAGGGTGACTGGTCCTGCTCGTGGGGTGTGAGCACTGCCAGGCGCCGTGTGCTCCTCAGTGGGCAGAGCTTGCACCCGCAGAACTGTTCCAGGAAGCTGCTGTGGGGTGAAACTGCAGCAGCCCAGCTCCCAAACCCTGCTCTGTGAGTTCTGGCTGTTCATGGTGTTGGTTGCATATTTCTTTCCACGTTAGACTCTAAGACTACAAGGGCTTATGATGAGTTAGCAAGAGGATGGGCAGTTGTCTGTAACCCAGCTTTGGGGAGAAGAGTTTTTGCATCAGTTTCCCTTGGGCAGAAGCTTACTCTCAAGTTGGTAATTTAAGAAAAATCATTTGCGTGAAAGCCTGCAAAACACCGTCCTTATTTTTTCATACAGTTGTACCTTGAGACAGTCTGAAATCTGCATGGGGATCAGTGACCAGGTACTCGTCAGCTGGAGCTGCATCTTCTGTATCTCACTGAAACTACTAAAATGGTTTTGGGTTCCATTTTGGGTTCTGTGAAAATGCTTATTCTGATTTTGGAAGGTGGTAAATGGGTGAGGTCTCTTACCAGTTAAGCCCAGGAGTCTTTTGAGAGCAAAGGCAAAAATGGAAATAAAGTCAAAACTATTTTTAGGGTCCCTGTTAGCCTGCCTCTCTACTGGGGTAAGCAGCCAAAGTTTACCAAGCCTCATGGGCATTTTGGTACTATCTGTGCTGTGCATGGCATCCCTGTAGAGGTTATTTTAGGTCCAGAAGAGGGATTTCTCTGGAGGGTCTCTTTTTTGGAATGAGTTCTACTTGACTTTTTACCTAAGTTCATTCTGATGCTTCATCTGTGATGCCAAGATGAAACAACTTGTATACATGTATATACAAGTATACTTCTATCTGTAGCTGTTGTGGCTTACTACACTCCAGTGCAGAAAGCATAATGCACAACTCCTAAGATTCTCTCAGTCATCTGCCCCTGAGCATTACTTTTCTTATTTTAGAAGCAAGTCTCATGCTACTCAGCATTTACTTAAGTGGAGGAACACCACTGAAGTTACAAAGTCAAGAACTCAAGAGGTAAAGGACAGTCAGATTGATGAATCTGTTCATCTTCCTTTTCTTTGTTTGGGTTTATGTAGTATATCTGCAGGAATATCTGTGACTTACCATTTCCTTGATTATGGGACAGCTCTATCCAAGACTGTTCAGGATGAAGCTGGAACAGAATAGCATAAGAAACTGCACATTTGGCACTTCTGATTTCTGACAATCTAAAGACTTGACTTTGGAAAATTGCTTTCATGTTGCTCTGCTGTGTAACCTTAATTTCTGTTTGTTATCTCACCAAACTTTTAAACTAAAAAATATGTGTGGTTTTTCTTTTGGTCCAGTGTTAGAGTGTTTTCTCTTACGTTTTGTAGCCAGCATTATTGCACTAAATGGATCGTAAGCACTTTCCTTTTCCAGGCAGCTCCAAGTTGCAGATCATTTTATTGCAAGCAAGGATCTTCAGAAGATTCTTGATGAAATCAATGTAGTTGATGGTAACTTTTGTCTTTGCTTCCATCTATAAATAATGAAATACTTTTATATAGTGATAAAACTATTGCTATGCCCCTGTGCATTGCCCTATAGGATATACATTACATTTTCTATTTTATGTGATACAGACTTTATTTTGCAGATATATTTATGTAGTGTTCACACACATAGGACTTGAAGGTCAACATCAGTGTCTGCTAATTTGGAACTCTGAGCAATACTGGTGATACCTGAGAAAACCGCCAGAGCCTGCCACCACCATGCAGACTTGGAAGTGATACCAAATCCATAGAAATAACTTGAATAAGAGGCATTACTTATTTACTTGATTACTTTCTTCCTTTTAATACTTTGTGTTTTACAGGACTGACTGTGTGCGGTCACTGTTGAGCTGCGAGTGCAAAGTGGTGTTTGGGATGTAAACGCTTCAAATACTGTCTAAACCTGTGAGCTGCTGTTTAAGATGCATGAGTTTAGGCAGGAAAGTGATTTTATGCTGTGCTGTAGTTTGATCTCTTCAGTGGTGCCTAAAGGTTAATTTTGATGAAGTTCTTATCATTAAAGGTTGCTTGGTGGTGATGATTTGTGCATGTTCATAAATGGATTTAGAACACCTGTACAGAAGTAGGGAAAATGGGACGAGGAACAGAGAAAGAAAGTGTTATCAATTGTCTCATGTAATGTAATTAAGCAGCATGTGTCTGCAGTTCACTTTGCCTCTGCCGTGTCTCTCAGAAAAGACAACCTAATGATTTTGGAACTTCTGCTGCATCTCTGAATGAAGAGAATGAGTCTTCTCCAACCACATCAAACTTGCATGACTGAATATATATAAAAAGAAAAGTTATATTGGGAACCAGCTGAAGAGAGTTGTGTAGACAGTTTATTTTCTACTAAGGAACAGTCATCTTGAGCTCCATAGGAGATGCATTTTATTTACTAAAAAAGGAATTTGTCTTCTGGTAAAAGGTGGCTTCCTTAATGTATATGTTGTCCATCCCTCAGACTGGAAGACAGAGACTTTTAGATGCCATTAACACAACACGCAATGGGCTGTATTAAGTACAGCATCTTGGCTTATGCTCACTCCTTGTGTGCAGTTGTTAGGGTTTTTAGCCCACACATCTTCTGGGGGAACAGAGGAAGGTGACAGTAACAGCTGAGTAAGTTCAGTAGCACCTTCCTATCTGGAAAGTTCTTGCTCCATTTGCACTAGCCCTTGCTGCAGGGAGGGACAGTATTTAGTGCAGTGCCTACAGTGACACACCCTTGAACCTTGCAGGGGACTTGGTAGACAGGGCAAGAGAAAAGATGAGAAGACCCCACTGTGGGAAGCACAACCTCAGCACCAGCAGGCTCTCCTCTTGGTACTTCTTTATTTACCTGGCATTATTACTGTGTCTTGCAACAGTAGTGTCTGATAATGGTCACTCACCCTATTGCATTACAGAGCACCCCCACAGCACGTCGGGATTCAAAAGGACATGAAGCAACTCCTTTCCTGCCTTCTGTATGATTGTGGGATGTTTTATTTAATAACAAATTCATTCTTTTTTCCTTTTTAATAGGAAACTGTCACAAAAGAAACCTTGCACATCTACCTTCTGTGTTGGAAGCAGAAAGCTCCAAAAAGGAAAGCTGTGTGGTACCTTTAGATTCTGACAGGAGAAACAGGGCAGATGCAAACAAGTCCAGAGTAACCTAGAGATGAACTTGCTAGAAACTCTGTACCAGAGTATAGTCACTGTTCTGTATAAAATGTGACTCTCAACATCAGCTGTATGGCAGAATGGGAGAGGGAGTATTAGAAAAGCAATGCCACCTTTCACAGCCTCACCCACTTTATAGTTTTTAAAGCAGCTTATCTTTCATCCATAAGCAGAAATGAAGGCATTCTCAGAATCGTGATGTTGTTAAAAGCAAGCAATCCCTCTCTTTAGAGTGGTTTTTCTCCTCTGGCTCTCTCAGGGCAGTTACACTACAAACCTCAGTGCATAACTGAAAACTTGTCTTTGCCTGACCTTTGTAGTTGTGAAAGTTACACCAAAGGAAACCCCAAAAAGCAAGAGGTGCATCTGAGGTGCGAGAGCCTACAGTGCATTTCTTGTTTCTCAGGTAGGTTCAAACCTGATGCAAGTGGCAAGATCTGTATCTTGCTTCATGCAAACCTTGCTCCCTCTTTACCCAAGATGGAAATCTTTCCCTTCTGCCTGTAAATGAATAAATAGGTGCAGAAACTGTCTGGAGAAACTTAAACAGAAACGCAGCTACACAACCATTTGCATTTGTTTGTGTCAGGCTTCTCCTGGACCCCTGCACTGTCATGTAATAATAAATCATTGCCAGGAGTCAAAACACTTGAGCACAGCAGGCAAATGGAAGTAATTGTGCCATTGCTGCAGAAAGTGTGATGCTGGAGCTGATGGAAAGGCCATGAATGCCCGGGAATGGTTCTGTACCTGCAGGGTAGCAGGAAAACCCCTTTTACAGCGCGCCAAGTTTTGCAGCAGGAGTAAACGTTCCAGAGCAGCACAGCGGAACAGAGCGCGCAAATGACACTTTAATGCACTCGGAGGGGCAGGGCGCGACCCCGCTCACAGCGCCCTCGGTCGGGGCCTCTCACGGTTCATCGCCGGACACAGCAGAGCCATCCGCGGCCTGCGCGGCAGCCTCCTTCGCGGCAGCCTCCTGCGCTCGCTGCCGCCGCAGCCGCTCGGCGCCGGTCACCGTCATGGGGTGGAGCGGCAGGAACCCCGCCAGACCTGCAAGGAGAGGCGGTGAGCAGCGGCCGCCAGCCCCGGGCCCCGGCCCCGGAGCCCGCCCGGGCCTACCCAGGAGCTTCTCAGCGGGGGGGGAGAGCTGCGCCCCGCAGCCCAGCCAGTGCCGCAGCCGCTCCAGGTTGAGCCCCGCCACCTTCTCGCCGTGGGAGTTGGGCAGGGGGTCGAGGCAGCCCAGCTGCTCCAGGTACTTCCCGTCGCGGGCGCGCCGGCTGTGCGCCGCCACGAGGCGGTAGAAGGGCCGGTTGGTGCAGCCGCCAAGCGCGAAGCGGATCACGACGTGGCCGCCGCGGTAGCCCTTGAGGAGGCGGCTGCCTGCGGAGAGAGCGCGGCGGTGACGGGCACGGGCACGGACAGGGCCAGGGCCCCGCGGGCAGCGCCCCCGGGCACTTACCGAGCTGCACCATGGCGGCGGCCGGGCCCTCTCTGCGGCGCGGAGTGATGACGTACGACGGACCGGAAGCTGATGCGGGGGAGGGCAGCCCGGAGCGAGAAACCGGCGGAACCGGAGCGGGGAGGTGGCGGGGGGGTGTCCCCTGTGCCGGGTGCTCGGGGGAAGCGAGTTCCGTTTCGCTGAGGTGCTTGTACATGGACGTTAACATAAAGAAGGCGCCCAACCTCCTTGTCTGGGTTTCATTTCCGAATGGAAATTTAAGTATAAATACCTCATGCCTGGTGTGGAGAATGTGACGCCCGTTATGGGGAGAGTGCCCCCCCCCAAAAAAGGGGGAGAACAGCTTAACTTGGGGGCGATTTCCCCCACAAAAAGGAATTTTTATGACAGGCTGCTGCCCTCCAGTGGCCAGAATTCGGTACTACGGGGTGGGGGGGCGCTGTGTGTCTAACTGTTCCCTTAAATACTGCCATCCAGTGGCCAAAATTCGGTACTGCATGGGGGGTGCTGTGTGTGTCGATATTTTCCCCTTAAATACTGCCATCCAGTGGCCAAAATTAGGTACTGCATAGGAGGGTGCTGTGTGTGTCGACATTTCCCTTTAAATACTGCCATCCAGTGGCCAAAATTAGGTACTGCATGGCGGGTGCTGTGTGTGTCGATATTTTCCCTTTAAATACTGCCATCCTGTGGCCAAAATTAGGTACTGCATGGGGGGGTGCTGTGTGTGTCGATATTTTCCCTTTAAATACTGCCATCCAGTGGCCAAAATTAGGAACTGCATGGGGGGCCGCTGTGTGTGTGGACATTTCCCTTTAAATACTGCCATCCTGTGGCCAAAATTAGGTACTGCATGGGGGGGTGCTGTGTGTGTCGATATTTTCCCTTAAATACTGCCATCCAGTGGCCAAAATTAGGTACTGCATGGGGGGGTGCTGTGTGTGTCGATATTTTCCCTTTAAATACTGCCATCCAGTGGCCAAAATTAGGAACTGCATGTGGGGACGCTCTGTGTGTCGATATTTTCCCTTTAAATACTGCCATCCTGTGGCCAAAATTAGGTACTGCATGGGTGGGGTGCTGTGTGTGTGGACATTTCCCTTTAAATACTGCCATCCTGTGGCCAAAATTAGGTACTGCATAGGGGGGTGCTGTGTGTGTCGATATTTTCCCTTTAAACACTGCCATCCAGTGGCCAAGATTCGGTACTGCATGGGGGGGTGCTGTGTGTGTCGACATTTCCCTTTAAATACTGCCATCCAGTGGCCAGAATTAGGAACTGCATGGGGGGACGCTGTGTGTGTCGATATTTTCCCTTTAAATACTGCCATCCTGTGGCCAAAATTAGGAACGCATGGGGGTGCTGTGTGTGTCGATATTTCCCTTAAATCGCCATCCGTGCCAAAATTAGGTACTGCAGGGGGGGGCGCTGTGTGTGTCGAATTTCCCTTTAAATACTGCCATCCAGTGGCCAAAATTAGGTACTGCATGGGGGGCTGTGTGTGTCGAATTTCCCTTAAAATGCCATCCGTGGCCAAAATTAGGTACTGCATGGGGGGCGCTGTGTGTGTCGATATTTTCCCTTTAAATACTGCCACCCGGTGGCCAGAATTGGGTACTGCAGGCGTGGGGGCGCTGTGTATCGACATTTCCCTTTAAATACTGCCATCCAGTGGCCAAAATTCGGTACTGCACGGGGGACGCTGTGTGTGTCGATATTTCCCTTTAAATACTGCCATCCAGTGGCCAAAATTCGGTACTGCAGGGGGGACGCTGTGTGTGTCGACATTTCCCTTTAAATACTGCCATCCGGTGGCCAAAATTCGGTACTGCATGGGAGGGCGCTGTGTGTGTCGATATTTTCCCTTTAAATACTACCATTCAATGGCCAAAATTCGGTACTGCACAGGGGACGCTGTGTGTGTCGATATTTCCCTTTAAATACTGCCATCCGGTGGCCAAAATTCGGTACTGCATGGGAGGGCGCTGTGTGTGTCGATATTTTCCCTTTAAATACTACCATTCAATGGCCAAAATTCGGTACTGCACAGGGGACGCTGTGTGTGTCGATATTTCCCTTTAAATACTGCCATCCGGTGGCCAAAATTCGGTACTGCATGGGAGGGCGCTGTGTGTGTCGATATTTTCCCTTTAAATACTACCATTCAATGGCCAAAATTCGGTACTGCACAGGGGACGCTGTGTGTGTCGATATTTCCCTTTAAATACTGCCATCCGGTGGCCAAAATTCGGTACTGCATGGGAGGGCGCTGTGTGTGTCGATATTTTCCCTTTAAATACTACCATTCAATGGCCAAAATTCGGTACTGCACAGGGGACGCTGTGTGTGTCGATATTTCCCTTTAAATACTGCCATCCGGTGGCCAAAATTCGGTACTGCATGGGAGGGCGCTGTGTGTGTCGATATTTTCCCTTTAAATACTACCATTCAATGGCCAAAATTCGGTACTGCACAGGGGACGCTGTGTGTGTCGACATTTCCCTTTAAATACTGCCATCCGGTGGCCAGAATTAGGTACTGCATGGGGGGGTGCTCTGAGTGTCGATATTTTCCCTTTAACTACTGCCATCCAGTGGCCAAAATTAGGTACTGCATGGGGGGGGTGCTGTGTGTGTCGATATTTCCCTTTAAATGCTGCCATCCTGTGGCCAAAATTAGGTACTGCATGGGGGGGGTGCTGTGTGTGTCGATATTTCCCTTTAAATACTGCCATCCAGTGGCCAAAATTCGGTACTGCATGGGGGGACGCTGTGTGTGTCGATATTTCCCTTTAAATACTGCCATCCAGTGGCCAAAATTAGGTACTGCATGGGGGGACGCTGTGTGTGTCGATATTTCCCTTTAAATGCTGCCATCCTGTGGCCAAAATTAGGTACTGCATGGGGGGTGCTGTGTGTGTCGATATTTCCCTTTAAATACTGCCATCCAGTGGCCAAAATTCGGTACTGCATGGGGGGGCGCTGTGTGTGTCGATATTTCCCTTTAAATACTGCCATCCAGTGGCCAAAATTAGGAACTGCATGGGGGGACGCTGTGTGTGTCGATATTTTCCCTTTAAATACTGCCATCCAGTGGCCAAAATTCGGTACTGCATGGGGGGACGCTGTGTGTGTCGATATTTTCCCTTTAAATACTGCCATCCTGTGGCCAAAATTAGGTACTGCATGGCGGGTGCTGTGTGTGTCGATATTTCCCTTTAAATACTGCCATCCAGTGGCCAAAATTAGGAACTGCATGGGGGGACGCTGTGTGTGTCGACATTTCCCTTTAAATACTGCCATCCAGTGGCCAAAATTCGGTACTGCATGGGGGGGGTGCTGTGTGTGTCGACATTTCCCTTTAAATACTGCCATCCAGTGGCCAAAATTCGGTACTGCATGGGCGCTGTGTGTGTCGACATTTCCCTTTAAATACTGCCATCCAGTGGCCAAAATTCGGTACTGCATGGGGGGGTGCTGTGTGTGTCGACATTTTCCCTTTAAATACTGCCATCCAGTGGCCAAAATTCGGTACTGCATGGGGGGGTGCTGTGTGTGTCGATATTTCCCTTTAAATACTGCCATCCAGTGGCCAAAATTCGGTACTGCACGGGGGACGCTGTGTGTGTCGATATTTCCTTTTAAATACTGCCATCCGGTGGCCAAAATTCGGTACTGCATGGGGGGTGCTGTGTGTGTCGATATTTCCCTTTAAATACTGCCATCCTGTGGCCAGAATTAGGTACTGCATTGGGGGGTTCGTCATTTTCCTTTAAATACTGCCACCCAGTGGCCAAAAATCGGCACTGCGGGGGGTCGCTGCTCGCTCCTGCCATCCTGTGTCCGGACTGCGGTACTGCAGCCCCGGCTATGCGCATGCGCAATGGCGCTTTTATATTCCGGAAGTAGAAACGCGATTCTGTGGTGCAACCGAGATGGTGTCGAGCCCTCGCTCCTGCTTCCCGGTAAAGAAACGCCGCCTCTGCCGCCGCTGCTCCATGTTCGCGACACCGGCGGGAGCTCGCAGGCGCTGCTATCCCGTTGTTGCAGCCCTCCGGTCGCGCTTAGGGTTTTGGCCCTTCTGGCGTGCCGTAGGCGTACTGCGCATGCGCATTTTCCTGGCCTCAATATGGCGGCGCCCACGGAGTGGGTTCCGGCAATGGCGGCGGCGACAGCATGCAAGGCCAGAGGCCATCGGGGAGGGTAGCGCGCACCTTCCGCCGGTGCAGGGGTGTCTCCTCCCGCTGGTTGCCAGCGGTGGGGACGGGAAACTTCAAATCCCCCGTTGCAGCAGCTCCCGGCCTGCTGGAGGCGAGGCGGGTCACGATAGCCCCTGGGAGTTACCAGGGAGCTGGCAGGAGGGAAGACGGTAAGGAGGCGGGCACCCCCCAGGGCTCTCCTTGAGCCTGCCCTGGCCATGCTCACCATGTGCAGCAGCCGCGGCTCCAGTATCCCGGGCGTTTCCCCCCCCACACTTCCCAGGAGCCTTTTCCTTTGCTCCAGGCCTCCCCCGATCCCTGAGGTGATGGCAGCGAGCTGTCGGAGGCACTAGTGGGAAAAGGGCCTCTGGCCAGAGGTAATCTGCATTAATAAAGGTTACTGCTTCTTTCCCTCTCCCAGAGGCCACGCAGAGAACGTGGGTGCCCATTCCGGGATGCTCTTCACTGCACCTACCTCAGGCTCACATGGGCCTTCACTTCCTAGCCTCACTCTGTGTGTGGTGTGGTGGCAGAGGGAGCACTCATTGGCTGTGGATGGGAGCTGTTGGGGCTGAAGCTGGAGAGGCCAAAGAAAGGTAAAGAAATCGGACGCTATCCATCCGGCAGCACCCTACTGCTGCAGGCAAGAAAGAGCCTGTGTCTCTGTGTGTGCAAGGATCCCTCTTCATAGCTCAAAGTAGGCTGGAGCGCTGAAGTGCGCTGAGGGGTGTGTATGTGTTACCTACAGCCATGCGGGACATGTAGGCATGTCTGGGAAGAGCTGTGAGATACCAGTGTATCCTCTTAGGTGGAGGACAGCCCAGTGACACGAGCCATAGAAGAGCTTTGAGAACTGGCTGCTTAGAACTTACCCTTTAGA